AATACAAGTTATGGAGTGAAAGTTTACTTTGGAGGTAGTAATCCATTCATCTATCTATGATACTTTGGAGGCTATTATAATGTCATAAGAACTTCCTAATGATATCTTCTAAGTAATATTAATTATTTGTAATTACTTCATAAATATTCATTTTCTCTATTTCAGGGCCATCAATTTTCACTATCAACTGTAATTTTAATCCACTCAATTTTTTCCTCAAAATATTCTCTAGAATATGATTTTAAAGTCATTTCTACTGCAATATTTTTTCTTCATGTACTTATTCATCCTTTATACATATTTATTATTTTAATTCACATGATTTTAATTGCCATATGAATTTATATAACAGGCATATAGATTTTTATATAAATTAAGACTATAGAAATTCAACATTATTTCTTATTTGAAAGGCAAAATTGAAGGAAGCAAATGCAGATTAAGAGAGCATATGATTTCAAGAGTTTAGTGAGCACATTTATTATATGCTTTTAAAATAACGATGTGGCTGATTAGCTAAATTAGTAAAAAATATAACTATGATAGGTAAAAATCAAGAGTGAAATGATGTTGACCCTCTGTGTGCACCATATTGCCCTTAAGCATGTGTCCTTTAATTGCTGCTGTACTCACAAGCTGGGAAGGAATGTGGGTGAGTAAGAAAGGAAGCAAAGGAAAATAAAATATGAAGGTTCCTCAACTTATCTAATCATCTACACCCTGAAGGAGAGTTTTTGTTAGCCCAGTTTCCAGATCTTGCATTATACAAAATTAGAAAAGTGTGTAGAGAGTCAGATAGGTAGAACTCTGAAAAAAAGGGTAATAAATTAGAGGAAGGGGCTAAATCAATCTATTTAATGGGGGCCCCAAACATGGTAGAAAATGCAGCATAGGATATGGCTGGAGAAAGATTCTCCAAAGTATCTACAAATGGTTAGAGTAAGCTTTTGGATTTGCTTTAGATTTATTGATGGATATGAATTGTAGATTAGATCTCCTTCAAAGTTAATTGAAAAAATCATTAAAGTTTAAGCTTCCTTTCAATTCCTGTTTCGGAGTTATACTGTGGTCTGCTGAATATGACTGCATGAATTGGCTGGACTATATAGGCTCAAGATTTATTAGGGTTACAGGTGAAATCATATGTCAGTGACTAATGAAGGTTGTAATACTACTTGCAAAGTCACCATTACAATTATATGTGTAATTGGTTATAAATATACACGTTGTTGATGCAAATAGAACTATTTGAATTTAACCTTTTGTACTAATAGATGTGATTAAAAATAAACTGAAATTTGGAACTTATTTTAGTTAATATAGGCAAGCGTTAATCTGCACAGTCATACAATGAAAAAAATGCATATCTGTAGAAGTTATCTATGAAGTTTTTTATATTTTGATCCTATGTACTATGTGATTATATGCGCTTGACTTATAAAGACCAAGCAGTGTCAATTACATTGTAGTATATAGTAGCTATAAATATTTTTGTAGTTATTCTATATTTGAATATAGTAACTTAGTTCTAATTTTTAAAGTTTCATTTGTAAAAGCTATAATCTTAACTACTATTTTCTAACTGAAGTCTTAATGTATAACTACGAGATAACAGTGAAATGGAAATTGCTTTTAGTGGAAGTTATAATGAAGATAACAGAAATAATTTAGAGCTAAATTTTGTTTACCCTGTGTGAAAATAGGTACTACATGGAGAGAAGGTATTAGGAAATTGTTACATAATACCACATATTTGCAAAGTTGTTCAAGTGCTTTGGTTTACAACAGATTAGTTCTTGGTTACTTTCCTTTTCGAATAAATGTCAGATGTCACATTATTAGACAGGAAAATGAGGTAATAGCTCAGAGAGAGCTGTTATAAATACTGTTATTATTTATAGAGATAAGTAATAGGAAGGTTTTCAAAGAAACCTTTAGAAACTCTGTTAGTTCAAATCTCTATTAAAAGCAAAGTGGTTTTGATTGAGGGAGGCCCACAAATGATCATCTAAAAGCAACATTGTGTTTTCACAATGACCACTTCAATAAAGCATCAGTCAAGACTGCGAAGCCCGCAGTTGAATGCTTTGTGGTCACACTTGGACTGTGCATAGACAAAGCCACATGCTTTGTTTTAAATAATCCCTAATTTACAAGGTAGTGATTGTAATGTTGCAGGTCTTTTTTTTGTTCCTCCAGAAATTACTATTACAGATTGAAGTTACCTGGGTGTTTTGAGCCTCTTAGTTTAAGGGAACTATCTAAATATTAAACTGTACCAGCAGCCCCCAAACAATCATTACGAAGTGTAGAATGCACTATAAATGCTTACAATTCCTGGCACTGTTTATACTTCATCATAAATCTTATATACCAGTTTAATAAACTCAGTATACTTAAATGTGAAAACACTTATTTTTAAGCTGTTTCCACCTCTATATTATCCTTTCCTTTAGATGCAGATATCATACACATGAGAGAGAGAGTTTGTAGAACATAGCACTGAATGCAGCACTTTCTATTCCAGCAAGTTATTTGTTTCCAAACACTGTAAATTTACAGCTATTTACAATAGACCACTGAGATTGATCTGCCTTGATGTTGAAAATCTTTATCAGGTTCCTATGTATACAAATATCATCTTCTCTTACTAGTAAAGCAGGCATTCTTAGGTATTTTATTAGACTCTCCAGGATCTTCCTGCATATAGTTTTAATTTCATTGTAATTTCTGTTTTAAAAACAACAGCATTCTAATAATGTATAAGATAATTATGCCAAATTTGGTTTATGTGAGTTATTGAATCTCATTTTTTATTCACCTCGCCTAATGTCCCACAAGCGCAGTCAAAAGGGTTTTGAGTTTTATTAAACTACCTTATTATTAAATACTTGGATGTTAGTTGCACAAAATAAGGTTGTAATACAGCTTTTATAAAATAACACGTCACAGCATTGACTAAAACTGTCTTTGTAATAAACATGCAATTTTTAAAGTTTTGTTATTTTGAGATGAAATTTCAGAGTTTCAAGAATAGTCTTGTAGTTCAAGTCTACCTTTACTTGATAGAGATTGCTGAAGTGACTTGGTTTTATTTTAATATGAAGCTTGTAATTTGATTTGTCTGGCCAAGCCATTCTACCATAGGGTTCTTATTTTCTACTGAGCTCAGAACCACTTTTAAGAACTGCATATTTCACAAATGCGCAGGAAATTGATGTGACTTTCCAATAACCTTCTGACTCAGCCTTCCTTCACCACACCAAGTAAACACCTCCTTGCAGTTTCTAGCACAGCCAAACAGCTATAGCTACACACTCCCTAAAACTTAGTTCATTCAATTTGGCTTTCTTCTCAACAGAAGTCACTTCCTGCTTCAGCTTATGTAAAACCTATACAACTTCTGATCCACACCCCAAGTTGCTTCTTTTCAAAGAAGCCCAAACCTGTTCTCCAAAACCCTCAGTGATCTCTGTCTTCTCTGATACCTATATGGCCTCTTAACTGTGTCACTCAAATTTCACACTTACCAACGGAGACTGTGTGGTTAGTTATTATTCCTACTCAACCAAATTATAAGTTATTTGAAATCAGGGATCATGATTTATTACTTCCTTATATATGCCATAGCTCCAAATTCAGAATTTTACACATAGCAGTCATATATTTTTAAATATAAAAAGGATTTAAATATAAAAAGAATATAGATAGATAAGAGACCTGGATCTCAGTTCTTAAAGGAAAGACTGAAAAAATACTTGGTGATTGTTGAGGGCTGGGTTTACTACTAAGTGTTGAAAGGAGTTTTAATTTTTTTGTATATATGGAATATCCTACAAAATGGTCCTTTTCAAACTTGAATTTGCATTAGAATCAACTAGAGTATTTGTTAAAACACAGATTGAGGGGGGCCAAAGCCCAACATTTCTGATTCAAGAGGCCAGAAATGGGGTTAAGAATTTGCATTTCTAACAAGTTTCCAGGGATGCTAATATTACTTGCTCATGGACTGCCTTTTGAATAGCATTACTATAAGAGAAAAGTTCTAATACCTAAATGCTATCTCAATGAGAGTTTTTCTGTTTTTGAAAGAATAAGTTAAAACTTTTGTATTAAATAACCAGGTTTTTAAAAACATAACAGTAGTTTACATTCCCAACATGCTTTCAATTTGCTCCTAAGGGTTCCACTTTTCTAATGATTCACAGGTATTAATTGTCCATGTAAAGAAATAATTTTAAAAGCTCTTTTCATTCATTTTTATCAAAATTTAGTTTTTATTGGAAAGGACAAGACAAATGCCAATAAAGCAATGACTTCTTGTCTAAATTTAGCATTCTCATACACAATTAAGAACAGGACTAATTGTCCTGTTCTGGAACTTTCTGGAAGATAGTTTGGCAACATATATAGAAAGCTTAAAAAATGTATACACCTTTCACTCTACAGTCTAACTGGTAGTGTGTATCCTAAGTATAAAATAAGTAATCAAATATGGAAATATTCGACACTTTGGTGTTATAATAGTTGACTAGATATATACATTTGTCAAAACTCAGGTTGTCCATTTAAAACGGCTGCTGTTTTGCTAATTGAATAAAATTGAAACAAAAATTTTAAAATTGAAATAATTATTTTTTTAAAAAATTGAAATTAAAATTTTAAAAGTATCAGTAAGCAATTATTTCCTTTTTTTGTTTTTTTTTCAGCTGCAGTCATGTCATTAATACAACTTCTGATCCACACCTCACGCTCCTTTTATTCAAAGAAGCTACCCAGTTGTTACCTACTTCAAGATGAAAGTAAGTGTGAAATGAGAAATTGAGTTAAAGGTGTTTGCCATGGCCTCTGCAGTTATGTAACTTGTGGAGAAGGCCAAGGTATGTGTGTGTATGTGTGTGTGTGTTGCGGGGTGGGGGATCCAGGATCTCTGAAGTAGTCCTGCAGCTACTCCACTGGTTTTAAGCGATAGAGAATGCATGACCATTTTAATGACTCACCTGTTGGAAGTCTACCAGAGAGGTGGAGAAGATAGAGGCCTTAACAAGTCTTTTCAGCTTGGATTTAAGCTATTGACTAGAGTCACTGTACAAGTTCTGAGATACTTTAAAGCTGAAGGACCCGAGTCTCTGGTGATTTCATTCTCTCCACTAGAGGGAATGAAACAGGTAAATAAATTAGTACAGCAGTAGTTTTTCTAACTGATTTTCTAAGATCACAAACAAGCTTGCTCTTCCTGCATCATTTTTCTGCCTTCTTACTTAGATTGTCAACTCCTTTCAAGTACTTATTTATCTTTCTATCCCCCAGAGTCCTGCTTTATTTATAATTGCTACTGAGTAATTATGTAAGAAGATTCAAATAATTCCTTACTGTTAGTTGGTATTTTGCAAACTTTCATTTCAGTCTAGTGGAAAGGTAAGAATGTAGTAGTTTAGGAAGATATTGACAAGGATGTTTTGATGGCATTGCCAATGGTATTACATATTATTTTTAAAGAAACCCTTTAATATAGCATCTCCTTTTTCATAAGTAACTTGCAAATCAGATTTTCTTAATTGTTTAAGGTTAAAAAAAATGCTATTTTCCGTATATCCCAGAACAGCAGATGAATGCGATTACTAAAACTTTTTCCAAGTCATATATTTTCATTAGCTACAGTGATCTTACAACTGAAGCTTAGCTATAGGCTATGTTAAAGATACATGAGGCAGAATATAAAGTAGCTAGAATTTATGGTGTTACATGGTATTGCAAAAGCAAGGCAAGCTGCTTTTTCTTAATCCAAACACATGTAATCTAACTGGAAAGAGATTTGGAGATTAGATCTTTCAAACAATGAAGAGTTTTTGTTGGTGGTGGTGGGTTTGTTTGTTTTTAGTTAAAACTAAAGCACAACGGTTTTATCAGATATGAGTGAAATTGTCAGGGAGTTGCTTGCATTTGTGAGAATCTGCTATGTTCTTAATGGCACAGTGAAGAAGAGCCATTAAACCTAAGAGTATGACCCTATAGCATGTATATCCAAAGCTAAAACAGAGGGGTGTCTGTATAGAAAGAGGAGTCTGCTCCCACTTTCAGAACTGATCTGAAGTTCCCTTTGACTCCCATATAAAATCTAAAACCTGTTCATCACTTGCCTTTTGTCAAAAAGTTAGTCATATCATTTTTCCATTTTGTATTCCTCTAATTATTTTCAGTGGAGCAAGCATGTGCAAACCCATCAATTATATTTTTATAATAAAATGTTTTTCACATTGTAACAAGGATACGACTGTCTCATAGCCTTGAATCCAAGTCTGTGAAGTAGATCCTGTGAGATAGATGAAGTGACTTGCCCAAGGCCTCTTTGATGTCATCAGAAAGAAATTTAGATTCAGGTCTGGCTTACTTCAGGACCCAAGCATAGTTGTCCATATGTCAGAATTTTAGATATCTGTACCTATATTTGAAATGTTTTCATTTATTTCTGGCCATCTCCACCCACAACCCTGTCCAAATATTGGACAAGTTTATTTTGAGTGAGACTGGTTTTAATCAGTTCTTATGTTATCCCTCCCTGGAGTTATTTCCATAGTAGAATGCATTTGAATATGCTATAAATCTGCCATCATGGTCTTACCTCAAATATCACCCTCTCAAAAATGACTTTATTGCTTACTACTATTATATTCTCTATGGTGATAGCTGATTTTATTTTTTTCAAAATATTTTTATCTGAACTTACATTATTTACTTGTGTACATGCTTCCTGTCTTTTTTCACTGGAATGTAAACGACCTTGAAGCTTGAAACTTATCTACTTATTCCACTTTTTCGCTGGCATTTATGTGCTAGGCATGGAATAAAGCCCACCAGATTTTGGTGGAAGCAACAATCACTAGGTACTAAACAGTGGGGTAACAATTACCAGGGGATGACATCACTCTGTAGCTCAGCAACAGTTCTACTGGGTAATAGTACTATATTTTGTTTCTAGTCTTTATGTTCTGATGGGTTCCAGTGAAATAAAACTGAAAATTATTACCATTTAGATGCCTCACTTTCTCTATAAAGTTATAAAAATGAGATAAAATATTAAAAATATTATTTTTATTACATATGAGGAGTTTATGTTTTAAAGTCTTTGAAATTATTTTCCTATGTGTATTCACAAGATATCACATTTTGATTAATTATTAATTCCAGCCATTTGCAGACATATACTAGTGGAGAAAAATGAATATTAATAAGGAAACCAAAATCTGAAAGTCATCTCTAAGGTTTTACTTTTCATAGCTTAAAATTACTCACAGTTGCTTGGTTATTTATAACTTTTTTTCATTCTACATTCTACATCAAACACACATCTCTTTCATTTTTTTTTTCTATTGGCAAGTAAGCATTATGGATTAGTGAATTAATTAGGCATCATGCCACATTTCTTAATACTACCCTTTCTATTGGTCTAAAATCAGAACACAAATATAGACCACATAGTAGCTGAGATCATAAACTGTGAAAAACAATTCTCCTAATTGGGAACAAGTTTGAAATAGAAATAAACCTAATTGGAAACAAGTTTCAAGAAAGGCACAATTGAAGAATTATCAGGTTTTTTGTTTTTTTTTTTTGGTGTATTAGAACGGATAGTGACAGTAAACATACACGTACCTTTGAATATGTGCATACATAAATATATATATGTGTGTGCATCTGTATATACAGATTTTATTTGAAATCATTTAAAGTAACTTTTAATAATATAATATATTATTCATAAAAATGCTTTTTGGAAGCAGTTGTTAATTATTTTCCACATTTGACCAATGAGGAAAGTGGGGATTGGGGAGATTATATGACCTACCCAAGACTGGGTAGACTAAACATAGAATTGGACCTTGAATTCCAGTTATCTGATTAGTATCTCACTACTTAAAAATAATATAAATTAAAAAGGACAAAATTCTCAAATCAAAATTTAAGTAAAAGTTAGGTTAACCTAATTATTGTCTCTATTCAAGGTTTAGTTCCAGGCAACATAATCTACTCTAGTTAAGTAATAAAAACTATTTATTTTGAGGTATTAATTAGCTTTTAGTTGAATTACTGGGAAGGCCAAGGGTACCAGGCTTGAATGCCTCTGAGCTAATAATACTGAACCAAATCCAAAGATTGTTTCTGTGGAAGTTCACCTGTTTTTGCTGCCTACACATCAGCACCTATGGGGTCAGAAGCTTTGGCAGCTCAAGAAATGCCATGTCTCCAAAACTGTGCTTGCTTCTTAAATCTTTATAGCCTTACAAGTCTTACTAGGTAGATGCTTGCAAGATTATTGCAGGTTTGTTGAGTGCATATGTCGGAAGATATATCCACCATAATGCTGCAATATAACATGCTACCTCAAAATTCAGTGGCCTAAAATAACCATCAACTATTTTTGTTCCTACATCTGCAGGATAGCTGAGGTTGGCTAATCTAGGCTAGGCTCAGTTGGGTGGCTCTGATCTGACTGGACTTGGTTCTTTGTTGTGGGTTAGACTAATTCTGGATCTATTGAATTTATTCTGGTTACCAGGCTGTGGGAAGCAGCTATCATAGTGATGGCAGAGGGCTAAACAAGCAGAAACACACAATGTATCCTCAGTTAAGAGTCAGACCCGGCAAATTCTCATTTCTGCTGCATTTCTTTGGCTAACAGAGGTCACATGGCCAAGTCAAAAGTCAAGGTGAAGAAGTACATTCCACCTCTAGTGGAAGGAACTGCAAACTCACAGAAGAGAGCAAATGAAGGGAAGGGTGCATAATTGAGACTAATGCTCAAATCTAACATGCAGAAAATATTGTTTTCAAATAACTCTCCTGAAAAAGAGAGACATAATTGAAGAACTATGAAAATGGAAACAGATTTTACGTAAGTTTAGTACTGAATCAAAGTAAAGTAGTGTACTACATTTGTAATGGAAAATCAAAGATTAGTATATTCAGCATAGCTTTTATATGCATAATGCTAAAACGTCAGTGAAATATTGTGGATCACGACTGTGATTCTTCTTGAAGGATGTATATACTCCATACACAATATGTAGATGTGTAACAGATGATGTCATAATAGTATATATAAAGCCATCTTACCATTGTTGCATCTTAATTAGAGAAACAAGATATGTATAAAATTGACATTTAAAATAGATTTTTAAAAGATTTTTAACTGAAAGTGTTTGTTTCTGTGCATTTTTATTCACTTATCTACTATGTAGCAGTGGGTGATCATGTGGCTTTGTGCCAAGGATAAGAAGGGGACACTGATGTTGTTTCTGTTTGTTCAGTCTAGTGCATATATGAAAGGACAGAGGCATAGGCTCCAAAATACAAGCTGAAGAAAAAGTAAAATAAAAGTAAAATAGTGTTCTTATGACGTAACAATTATTTCATAACCACTTATTATCTAAGACCAGTCAGTACTTTGCTCACCTTGGTTAGGAATGATTTTATACTCCTGAATGGATGGAGCCTCCTCATTTAACAATACTATCAAGTAACAAAAGAAGAGAAATATTTCTCTCATTTCCAGATCTTTCCAAACCCTAAAATTGCCAGTCCTTCCAAATTCACAAGGACTGAAAATTTTACCCTTTCTTTTAGTACCTGCTATCTTTCCATGAAAGGAAAACATTATGCTACAACTGTATAACAATATGTAGTATTATAGTTATACCAGTAGCAAAAGCCAATAAGTTAAAAAATGATAAAATTACAGAAAACATATATATAAAATTATATATATAAGTTTATATACATATAAATAAGATTTATATAAATAAATACTAACTATATAAATTTACATATTTTATTTATAAAATAAATATATTTCATTTATACATATAATTACCTTAAATATAATTTCTTTAAGCATTTGATTGTTAAAGACTGACTAAAAAGTAAGTTTTAATTTTATTTTGCCAAGTATAAGAAAGTTCTATTTTTTTGTCAGTCTGATATATTTTATGTGCTGCTATGTTTGTTTTATGATTATTTTAAATCATTTTAAATATTTTGAGCACTATAAAATATTTTATGTTGTTATGTAAAACTTAGTCTATAACCTAGATCATTTAAAAATGTTAACTGCCTTAACATTCAGGTGGTTAAAATTCTCCCCTTGGTAGCACAAAATACTCCTAATTTTATCATAGATATTAATAGATGAAAATGAATGTTTTATAAGGAAATTGAGCTGTTAAAATATTCAGCAATGTGCAAGTTACCATTGCGTGAAGATAAGAAACCTGATTAAGAGAATTAGTAACTGGTTATTCAACTTCTACATTTCTGTTATTCTAATTTTATATTTGTAATACACTTTACAGTAAGTGCATTACAATTAAAAATGTAGAAAATGTTTATCCATTTTGCACTTTAAATCATCTCAGATCATAATGAAGGTACATGTACCATGCTTATTCAGGTAGGCACTGGGGAGTCATTGAGAGATTTTCAGCAGAATGATGTGGTTGAATTTACATTTTACCTAGGTTGCTTGACAGCTAAGTGAGAGATTTCTTTTTCTCTTAGATTTCTTATTTTTCTTAAAATATTAATATTTCTTATTAATATTTTTAAAACTCCTTGACTTTTGAAAATAATTAATAGACTTAATATTTTAGTTTTAGGTTTACAAAAATATTGAGTGGGAATTACACAGAGAGTTCCCCTATACTCCCTGTCCGCACACAACCACAACATCCTGCACTAGAGTGCTACTTTTGTTACAGTTATCCTACTTTGACACACAATTAGTACCTAAAGTCCATAATTCCCATTGAGTTCTATGGATTTTGACAAATGTAAAATGACATAAAGCATACCCACCATTGTAGTACCATACAGAGTAGTTTCATTCCCTAAAAATTCTCTGTGCTCCGCCTGTTCACCAGTTTCTCCCACAATCCCTATCAATTACTGATCTTTTACTGTCTCAATAGTTTGGCATTTTCCAAAATGCCTTATAATTGGAATAATATGGTATGTAGCCTCTTTAAATTGGTTTGTTTCACTTAGTAATAAGAATTTATATTTTCTCCATGTCTTTTCACGGTTGGTAGCCCTTTTCTTTCTAGTGCTGAATAATATTCTATTATCTGGATGTACCACAGTTTTTTATCCACTCATTAACTGAGGAACATCTTGGTTGTTTACATTTGGTGTTTACAAATAAAACTGCTATAAACGTCTATGTGCAGGATTTCATGTAGATATAACTTTTCCATTCATTTGGGTAAATACCAAGGATCATGATTGCTGTATCATATAGTAAAAGAATGTTTAGCTTGGTAAGAAACTTTCAGATATCTTCCAAAGTACTGTATCATTTTGCATACCCACTAGCAATGTTCCTGTTATTCCACATCCATGCCTGCATTTGGTATTGGCAGTGCTTTGGATATGGGTCATTCTAATGGGTGTCTAATGGTATCTCATTGTTCTTTTAATATGCAACTTCCTAATGGCCTATGATATGGAGCAGTTTTTTCTGTGCTCACTTGCCATTATATATCTTCTTTGAAGCAAAATCTGTTCAGATTTTTTGCCATTATAAAGTCAAATTCTTTGTTTTCTTGTCATTGAGTTTTTAATTTCTTGTGTATTTTTTGGGGGGGGGAGGAAGGCAGGAAGGGAGGGAAGAAGGACGGTAGGGAGGAAGGAAGGGATGAAGGAAGGAAGGAAGGGAGGAGGCGGGGAGGGAGGGAAGAAGGACGGTAGGGAGGAAGGAAGGGATGAAGGAAGGAAGGAAGGAAGGGAGGAAGCGGGGAGGGAGGGAGGGAGGGAAGGGAAGGAAGGAAATCAAGCAATGAGAGACACATTTCCGACCTGGATCTAGAGGTTTACAAGTTGATTTCTTTTTTTTTGAGAGAAGGAAAGAAAAAAAAAATAATAAGTAAAGGAGAGGAAGAGAAAGAGGAAGAGAAAGAGGGAGAGTAAATG